GGGTCTGGTCAGGAGGGGATCAATGGGATCCTCCCTCTCCAGCATACTACATTTCTCTGAGAGGAAATGATTGAATTTCTTGATGAACTTGAGACCTCCCAGTCTCTCTTTGATATATGTGTTGCAATTGCCCTAGAATTGGAATAATGAATGAATTGCTGTTTCGTAAAATATTTCAAGTCCTTCATGTTTTCAAATGATCACAGCTAGAATTTGCACCTTAAGGTTCAGCATGCTGAGCCTATCATTCTTGTTGCTGGAGTACAGGAGACAGTCTGTTTTATATTGGTAGATGTGGGATTTTCTTTGAAGCATTCTTAATGATTTGAACAAGTTTAACAAGCATGTTTTGCAACGCTTCTGAAATGATCAATGGAAGCACAACTGGGGAAGACATAAGTCTTCAGGATCTTTATTCTTTGTGCTGGTGAGAGAGCTTCTGTTCTTAGGCTTGAGTTTCTCTTCCCAGTCACACTAAGTTAGACTTGCTCATGGATCTGTGTGGGCTCCCATGCCTGAAGGTATTTCTCAGTTTCACTTGGTGGAATGTAGGATATAGATTCACCCTTGAGCTTCCTATTTTTCCCATGATTGTATAGGAAATTGTTCCCCTTATGTGTTAAGTGGAAACTTTCATTTTCATTGCATTACATAGTCAGGCTTGTGATGTTCCAAAATGACTGAACTAGTTTTGGATTCTGTTTCAGTTGTTCGTTAGCTCATTGAGCCGGTTGTTCTGAGGTGTGCAGATGTTTCGTTACCATTCTAGGCAACTTCATCAGTGCGACCTCTAATTGAAGAATTCTGTTTCATCCCAGTTGCTATGTAGAGCTATGTTGCCTATGAAGCCCAAATTAGAGCAGTTTCTTTCTCCCAGGAGCATGGAGATTCCTGTATTGGCCCTCTCCAGGGAACACTCTAATGAGTTCAATTTAATGCTGAATCATATTGCAAAGGATGTTATCCTGCTTTACTCCTCTCTGTATTTTTTATTGGGTGTTGGCTTAGTTGAGATCAAGGATATGAACAATCCTTCCAAGGCTGTCACTTTTGCTACATCTCAGAATTCTGTATTATTGTGTAATCTTTTGCCTTGTTTGACTTCCCCAAATGCTTCACCCGAGACTTCTCCAGTTTGAATTCCACTGCCATTTGTGTGCTTCACATGAGGGGTTCATCAATATCTTCAACAGTATACACGTATACAAAAATTAAGGGAGAAATCAGGCAAGTTAAACGGGACACAAGATGACTTTGGCAGATAAGATAAAGGAGAATCCAAAGGGTTTCTACAAGTACATGAAGGGCAAAAGAGTAACTAGGGAGAGAATAGGGCCTCTTAAAGATCAACAAGGTGGTTTATGTGTGGAGCCACTAAAATAGGTGAGATGAGGTTGTTGATTTGCTTGCTGAGCTAGCTTGTTCTCGTTTAGATGTTTCAACACCATGCTAGGTGACATCATCAGTGGATCCTCCGATGAAGCGGTGTTTTTCTACTCCGCTTGGAATTTATACTGTTTGTTCCATTAAGGCGAGTCCTGTTATTTCCGGTTTTGATCTGTATGGGTTTGTATATAGGGTCCAATTCTGTGTGTTTGTTGATTGCATTACGGGTGGAGAATCATGCCTCTAGGAATTCCCGTGCGTGTCTATGTTTGGCTTGGGCTACTTTGGTTACCTTGTCCAAGTTAAACTGATGGCCTTCATTGTCTGAGTGTACCGATATTAAGGAGAGTTCGTCGTGCCGTTTTGCTGCTAGTTAATGTTCATGTATTCTGATGGTTAGTTTCCTTCCTGTCTGTCCAATGTAATGTTTGTGGCAGTAATTGCATGGTAATTTGTAAACCACGTTGGTTCTGCATGTTGTGGGAATGGCGTCTTTAATCCTTGTAAGTGTTTGTTGTAGAGTGGCTGTGGGCATGTGGGCCACCATGATTCATAGTGGTCTTAGCAGTCTTTTTGTCAGTTCCAATGTGTTCTTGATATATGGCAATGTGGCTAATGTGTTAAGGCATACTGTGTCCTCCTGTTGTTGTCTGTTTAGTAGGCATCTGCAGATGAAGTTCCGGGGATATCCGTTTATAATGAGGATTTTATTTAGGTGCTCTTCCTTTTTCCTGCATAGTTCTGGGGTGTTGCAGTGTGTCCTGGCCCATTTAAATAGTGTCCTAATGCAGCTTTGTTTGTGGGCCTTGGGGTGGTTGCTGTGGAAGTTGAGTTTTCGATCAGTATCGGTTGCTTTTCTGTATACTGAGAATTGGAACTCCCTGTTGGTCATACGCTCATCTTTAACATCCAGAAACGGAAGTTGATTGTTGTTTTCTTCTTCCCTTACGAATTTAATCCCTGTGAATACGCTGTTGATGGGGTTGTGGGTCTCTTCTAATTTGTTGTGTTTAATAATGACAAATGTTTTGTCTACGTACTGGATCCACAGTTTAGGTTGAATGCAGGGGAGGTTGGTGTTTTCTAGTCTTTGCATGACTGCTTCTGCAATGAGTCCTGACATGGGTGACCCCGTTGGTATACCGTTGATCTGTTTGTATACTTGACAATTAAAGATGAAGTGTGTGGGAAGGCAGACGTCTAGCAGTTTAAGTATGTTGTCATTGCTGATTGAGCTCCTGGTCTACGTTGAGATCCTAATACGTGAAATCCTGAAAGAATATTTCTCATCAGTATTTACCATCGAAAAAGGCATGGATGCTAGGGAAGTTGGGGAAATAAATCGTGAATTCTTGAAGAGAGTCCATATTACAGAAGAAGAGGTGCTGGAAGTCTTAAAACGCATTAAGTAGATAAATCCTTGGGACCTCATGAAACGTATTGCAGGACTTTGTGAGACGTAAAGGAGGAAATTACAGGGAGCCTCACGGAGATATCAACAGCCACGGGTGAAGTGTCTGAAGATTGAAAGTTGGCTAATGTTGTGCCATTATTTAAGAAAGGCTGCAGGTAAATGCCTGGGAGCTGCCAGTGAGCCTAACGTCTGTGGTGGGTAAGTTGCCAGAAGGGATTCTGAGAGACAGGACCTACAGCCATTGGAAAGGCAAGAAGTCTTTTGTGATAGTCACCATGGCTTTGTGCATGGGAAATCATGTCACATGAATTTGATTGAGATTTTTGAAGGGGTGACTAGGAAAGTAGATGAGGGCAGTGTGGTAGACATTGTCTACATAGACTGTAGTTGGGCCTTTGATAATGTACTGCATGGTGGCTTGTTGAGTAAGGTTAAATCTCACAGGATCCATGGAGAGCTGACCACCTGGATACAAAATTGGCTTGAAGGTTGAAGACAGCAGTAGTGGTAGAGGGTTGTTTTTCAAACTGGAGGCCTGTGATCAGCAGTGTGCCATAGGGATCGATGCTGGGTCCACTGTTATTGTCATTTATATAAATGATTTGGATTAGAATCAGGAGGTATGGTTAGTAAGTTTGTGGATGACACCAAGATTAGTGGTATAGTGGACGGTGAAGAAGGTTATCTGGGAATACAACAAGATCTTGATCGACTGGGCAGGTGGGCTGAGGATTGGCAGATGGATTTTAATTTAGATAAATACAAGGTGTTGCATTTTGGTAGGTCAAACCAGGGCAGGACTTAAACAGTCAATGGTAGTGCCCTGGGGTGTGTTACAGAACAATGACATCTCGGGTACAGGTTCATAGCTCCTTGAAAGTGGAGTCACAAGTACACAGTAATGAAGAAGGTGTTTGGCATGCTTGCTTTCATTAGTCAGAGCATTGACTATAGGAGTTGGGATGTCTCGTTGCAGCTGTACAAGACATTGGTAAGGCCACAGTTCTGGTTACCTACTATAGAAAGGATATTATTAAACTAGAAACAGTGCAGAAGAGATTTACTGGGATACTACCTGGACTGGAAGGTTTGAGTTATTTGGAGAGGCTGAATAGGCTATGACTTTTTTCCCTGGAGCATAGGAGGTTGAGGGGTGACCTTATAGAGGTCTGTAAAATCATGAGAGGCGTAGATAAGGTATATAGCTAACAGCTTTTCCCCATGGTATGGAAGTCCAAAACTTGAGGGCATAGGTTTAAGTTGAGAGGGGAGAGATACAAAAGCATCCAGAGGGGCAATTTTTTTCACGCAGAGGGTGGTGAGTGTCTGGGACGGGCTGCCAGAGGTAGTGGTGGAGGTGAATACAATTTTGTTATTTAAGAAACATTTTGATGGGTACATAGCTGGGATAGGTATGGAGAGATAGGGACCACACACAGGCAAATGGGACTAGAGTATTTATGAAAACTGGGCGCAATGGACAAGTTGGCCAAAGGGCCTGTTTCCATGCTGTAAACCTCTGTGACTCTAATCAATGACTTGAGTGGCAGGAGGAAGATTGTGGAGGCATTGGAAAAAGTGGTGTTATTAGACAAATTGTTCTTGCAAAGAGGCCATTAGAGACGACAGATTATGTAGCCAATTTTTTGGCTGTTACAATTAAATAAGACTACAAGTAACATCAAAGGTACAAAATGAATGAGCCAACAAAAATTTAGGAGGGGAAAAAAAACCGATTCATTCCACCTGAACTACCGATTTATCACCATACTACAACATGTACGGGGATGTAGCTCAGTGGTAGAGCGCATGCTTTGCATGTATGAGGCCCCGGGTTCAATCCCCGGCATCTCCACTTCTTTTTCCATTCGGCCTTTGTGCTTTCATTAGGAGTTAACAAAGGGGCTGGAAATTTTCTCCGGATGAACCAGGCATTTTTGTTCCGGTTCAAACTCCGTTTCTATAATTTACATTCTTTAGCTTTGTGGGAACAAGGAAACACTCAGCAAGTCCCGTATACGTCGTATTCCAAATGAGAACCTGCACTGGTTGGAGGAGCCGTTTAAGATTTTGGATTTGTGCCAATGTTCTTTTAACGCTTTAAATCCATCCTCGCTGTCAAAGTAACTGCCGCTCTATTCATTTTTATCACCGCGCTCGGCCTCGTGGGTAACACGTCATCCAGAGGCTGTGTACCCAAATACAGTGACGTGCGTGACCGTAACCAGGGAAACGGCGGCTGGTTCGGAGTTTGTGGGAAGAAATAAAGCGAACGGAGTCGAGATTAGGTCTGGGGGAAGCTAATGCAGCTGAAACATCTGAAAACCCTTCTGAATCCTCAGGTACAGCGTACACACACACAGTGTACACGTTGTGATAGCTTGCATTGTCCATTGTTTTAAGGCCTCTCCTCCTCTTTCCTGGGTCGTCCGGTGTGGGAAATGCCATTTGTTTTGTGGTCCTGATTTTTAACCGACAAGAAAAAGACAAATTGCTGGAGAAATTCAGCAAGTCTGGCAGTATCCGTGTAGAGAAAAACGCAGTTAATGTTTCCACTCCATGACCCTTCTTCAGAACTCGAAACGTGAAATGTGATTCCTCTCCCTCCACAGATACTGCCAGACCTGTTGAGTTTCCCGAGCAATTTCTGTTTTTGTTTCAGATCGGTTTTATGAAACGGTAAGGTCGAGGATCGCTACGGTCTCGACGTCAGTCCTTCAGAAACTAAGAGGCCCTGCATATGTGTAGCACTTTGCAGGATTTTCCAGACCGCCTTACCTTATAGCTAATTTGGAAGGCATTCACTGTTATAATGTGGAACGTATAGACTTTCAGAGTTGCCGCTCATTGACTCTGGGTGGACGTGCAATTCCCGGAGACTAATCCTCTTTAAAATCGATTTCACATTTGTATTAACATTCTGTGGATGCAGGAAATCTGATGAAACAAGTTCTGATGAAAGATCGTGGATCTGAAAACTTGAATCTTTTCCTTTCCCCATTGCCTCCTGTTGTGTATTTCCAACGTCTTGTTTTTATTTTGCGTTTGTGTATATTTATTTCTATTTCATTCCTTCAGTTTCTCTTGTGTTAAATGGATGAAGTTTCGGTCTGGCGGGAGCCGAGTTGTAATTCATGTTCAGATTCACATTTACACTTATATTTACCATCACGTCAAGAAACATAAAAACATTGACTAAACCTGACAGATTTATTGCACCAAAGGTGATATGGCTCAATGTTTCTGTGTCAGTTGAAAAACAGTAATTTAACCTATTCCTATTTTGCAACTTTTATTCTGTAGCCTGGGGGAAATCAAGTCACTTCAAGTGCATATTCAAGCGCCTTTTAAACGCACTGGGGATTTCTGCCTTTATACTTTCAGTCAGTCAGTTCCAGAACCCCAATTGCCTTTTAGCTGAAAAAGATACTTGTCAACAGTTACAGCAATTAAATCAATGATTCCTCCCCAAGCTAGTTATAGACCTCAGTGCTAAGGGAAATAAGTATTTCCTATTCACTCTGTCTACTTCTCAACAGCTTGTGTTCCAAAGAAAACAACCCCATCCCATTAAATCTTTACTCATAGCTAGAATTTTACGTTCCTGACAATTTTGCATCCTTGTTTAACAAAGAACTGCTGTTGCTGGAAATCAAAATCAAAAACTCACAGGTCTGGTAGCATCTGTGGAAAGAAAGCAGAATTAATGTTTCAGGTCCAGTGACCCTTCTTTAGTACTGATTGTAGCTAGGGAAAGATTGGTATATATGCTGAAGATGAGATGGGGGAAAGAATAAACAATAGGTGGAGATGAAGCCCAGAGAAAGAGAGAGAGACTGAGAAAACAACAGTTGGTCAGACAATAGAATGGATTGAGGTCAGTTTGGGGGAATCAGTATCTGTTAATTGTGACCATTAGTAGCTGACAATGGGATGGTTGTGATTGCAGCCCTTATGATGACAAGTCATGGTGTGTGGGAGTTCAGGTAAGGAATTGGGAGAAGGTTCTCTGGCCCTAAAATTATTGAACTCAGTATTGAATCACAAAGATTGCAGAGTCACAAAGCGAAAAATGAGATGCTGCTCTTCTAGCTTGCGCTGAGCTTCCTTTGAGTACTGCAGCAAGCCTGAGACAAAGATGTTAGCCAAGAAATATGGTGGTGTGTTCAAGTGACAGACAACAGGAAGAACAGAGTCATTTTTGCAGTCAGAACATAGGTGTTCTGTAAAACGGTTGTCCAGTCTGTGCTTTGTCACTCCACTGTAGAGGAGACCACATTGTGAGCAGCAGATACTGTGGTGCTCTGATGAACAGTCATTTAGACTTGAAACGTTTGCTTGCTGTCTCTCCATAGATGCTGCCTGACCCACTGTGATTTCCAGCAGTTTTTGTTTTCAATACTATAGACTACATTGAGTGAAGTGCAGGTAAATCACTGCTTCACCTCGACAATGTGTCTGGGATGTTGGATAATGACGGAGGAGGAAATAAATGGGCACATGTTTTACCTTCTGTGATTGCATGGGAAGGTGCCATGGCGATATGGGAAGGCGTTTGGAATGAAGGAGTGGACCAGGATGTCCCGGAGGGAATGGTCCCTGTGGAAGGCTGACAAGGGAGTGGAGGGGATTATGTGTCTGGCAGTGGCATCCTGCTAGAGGTGGCAGATACGGCAACTAATGGTCCTTTAGATGTTGATGCTGGTGGAGTAGTAAATGAGGAGGAGGAGGTGGAGCCTGTTACTGTTGTGGGAGGAAGAGAAGGTGTGAGGGCCCAAGTGTGGGAGATGGGTTGAACACGACTGAGGGCCCTATCAACCAAGTGGTGGGGAATCCTTGGTTGAGAAAGAAGGTGGATGTTTTGGAGGCCCCCTTGTAGAAGTTGATATCATTGGAACAGACGCAACGGAAACGGAGAAACAGAGAGAATGGAGAAGAATCTTCACAGGAAGTTAGGTGTGAGGATGTGTAGTCCTAGTAACTGTGGGAGTCAGTGCATTTGTATGGTGGCCTGCCTATCTCAGAAATGTAAGTGGAGGTGAAGGTCTTATGATATTATTGCTGGACTGTTAAACTAGAAACTTGTGGCTAATGTTCTAGGGACCTGAGTTCAAATCCTGCCATTTTGAATTCAATAAAAATCTGGAATTAAGAGTTTAATGATGACCAAGAATCCATTGTCGATTGTCCGCAAAATTCATCTGGTTCATTAATGTCTTTTAGGGAAGCAAACTGCTATCAATATTTGTCTGGCCTACTTGCGACAACCACAGCAATGTTGACTCTGAACCTCAATTATGGATGGGCAATAAATGCCAGCCTCGCCAGTGATGGCCTCATGCTATGAATGAAGTAATTAAACAAAAATGGAAACAAAATGTTGAGGAAGAGATGGGCCAGGTGAAGGTGAGAGCAGGGTGGAAATTGGAAGCGAAATAGATAATCGTTTCTAATTATAGATGAGAGCTGGAAGCAGCACCAATGATATCATCGATGTACTGGAGGGAGTTGTAGGTGGAGGTCAGAGTAGGACTGAAATGTTCCACGTATCGCACAAAGAGACAGGTGTAACTGAGGCCCATGCAGGTAGCCATGGCACACCTTTGACCTGAAGAAAGTGAGATGAGTTAAAAGAGGAGTGAAGACAAGCTCAGCCAGGTGGAGGAAAGATGGTGGTAGACGGTAATGGTTCAAGCCTTCTTCTAGAAGGAAATGAAGAGCCCTGAGCTCTGTATTGCTCATCCTTGATGAAGAGGAGGTGTCTGGAGTCTGCAAACTTGAAATTCTGAAACTGATGTAAAATTTCAGACGTAAGTGATCAAGGGCAGAAAAAATCGAGTTGAGGTAGGAAGAGATGAGTTCTGAGGGGCAGGAACAGGCAGAAACAGTGATTGTGCCTCGGCAGTCCTGTTGGTGGATTTTGGAAAGGAGGTAGAAGTAGGTTTTACGAGGTTGGGAGACTGTGAACTCAGAAGCAGTGGGCAGGCTGAATTGAGATTAGTGACCATCGTGGACACAATAGACTAGAATTCAGTGTGGGGTCACGGTCCAGTGGCGATAGGAGGAAGTGTCCATGAGCTGATACTTTGCCTCTGCAATGTAGAAATCACTATGCCAGACAACAACAGGTCCACCCTTTCGGCAGGCTTGTTTACAAAGTCAGGGTTAGGTCTAAGAGCATGGAATGCAGTCAGTTCAAAGGGAGATAGATTGGAATAGATAAGGGGGTGCAGAGAAATTAAGGTGACCAATGTCACATTGGCAGTTGATGATGAAGAGCTTGAGTACAGGTAAAGGGCTAGAGGGAGAGGTCCAGGTGTAGGGAAAGTGTAGGAGGTGGGTGAAAGCATCTCTATTGCATCTGTTCTGATGATGCCAGCTTCCATAAGAGGGCCTCTAAAATGTCCACCTTCTTCCTCAACCATTGTCAGCTACTGTTATCCCAATTAGCAGCTATTGATTCCCCCAGGCTGACCTGTATCCATTCCCTTGTCTGTTCAACTGTTGTTTTTTTACCTCTGGCCTTCATCTCTGTCTATCATTTACTCCTCCCCTCACCCCATCTTCAGCATAGGTAGCAATCTTTTCCTGGCTACATTCAGTTCTGAAGAAGGTTCACCAGATCCGAAACATTAACTCTGCTTTTTGTGCACAGATGCTGCCAGACCTGCTGAGTTTTTTCAGCAATTTCTGTTTTTATCCCAGACATCCTTGTTAATCTCCACTGTACATTCCCTCACATTCTTCCTGTAATCAGAACTGGAGACAGTACTTCAGCTGCAGTCTAACCAGTGAAGTTCTGGCATGCATTCCCTGTTCTTGGGTCTTGGCCAATAAAGGAAAGTATTTTGTATGCCTTGCTGATGACCTTGTATACCTACCGGAGATCTGTAGACATACCAAGAATCTTCTGCTTCTCGACATAAAGTCATAGAGTTGTACAGCATGGAGACAGACCCTTCGTTCCAACCAGCCCATGCTGACCATTTTCCAAATCTAAACTAGTGCCACCTGCCTGTGCTTGGCCCATATCCCTCCAAACCTTTCCTATTCATGAATCTACCCAAATATCTTTTAAATGTTGTAACTGTACCTGCATCCTCCATTTTTTCTGGTAGTTCATTCTTCACACAAGCCACTGTGAAAAAAAGTGTTTCCCCTCATTGTCCTCCTCAAATCTTTCTCCTCTTACCTTAAACATATGCCCTGTAGTTTTCAACTGCCACCACCCGTCGGGAAAAGACCCTTGTCATTCACCTTATCTAATTCCCTCATGATTTTATAAACCCAATAATGTCACCCCTCAACTTCCAATGCTCCAGTGAAAAAAATCCCAGTCTTTCCAGTCTATTTTTATACCTCAAATCCTCCATTCCCGGTAACACCCTAGTAAATCTTTTTGGAACCCTCCAGTTTAATAATATCCTTCCTGTAACAGGGCAACCAGAATGGTACACTGTACTCCAGAAGAGGTCTCACCAACATCCTGTACAACCTCAACATGATGTCCCAACTCCTATACTCAAAAGGTTTGAGCAATGAGGGCAACTGTGCTAAAATGCCTTCTTAACTACCCACTCTACATAGAAGAATCCCTGCAGAGTGGAAACAGGCTCTTTGGCCCAACAAGTCCACACCAACCCCCAGAGCATCCCATTCAGACCCATTCCCTTATAAACCCACCTAATCTACACGTCCCTGAACACTATGGGCAATTTAGCATGGCCGATTCACCTAGCCTGCACATCTTTGGACTGTGGGAGGAAACTGGAGCACCCAGAGGAAACCCACACAGACACGGGGAGAACATGCAAATTCCACACAGACAGTCACCCAAGGTTGGAATCGAACCCGAGTCCCTAGCGCTGTGAGGCAGCAGTGCTAGCCACTGAGCCACCGTGCCGCCCTCACTGTACATGTGATGCAAATTTCCAAGAATTACAGTTAACGTCTTCCTACCATGCCTTGCCTTGTTTGCTCTTCCCAAGTGCATTACTTTGGATTCAATTCTATTTGCCAATTTTCTGCACACCTGACCAATCCGTAACTTCCAGTAGTCTGCCACTCTCTTCCTCGTAAACCATGAGACAGGTCATTTGTGTATTATCAAATTTTTTTAATCATACCGCCTAAATTAAAGTCTAATACTGTTACAACCCTTGGCTGTCAACCAGAACTTAATATGCCATTTTATTATTCCCACAGCCAACAATCACTTCAGTCAATTTTCTTGGATCTCAAAATTCTTGTTACAGGACTCCACCCTTCCTCATCTTGGTCCTAGGACCATTCTTCCACTGCTGTGTAGACACTCTTCTTTGAATACTGCCACATACAGTGCATGTGATTTTGCTACTTTCCAGATAATGCTCGGGTATTGCACTTGTAAAAGTCAAAACCTTGTTTAAAGAGAAAGAAAGTCAGTGATTGGTCTGGAAATTTAAGTTTGAAAACAGGTTAATAGTTAAAAAGGGCTAGTTCAGAACGAACATCAAAATAAATATGAAGATGATCAGATGCGGTGGGTTGCCAGAGAGGGTTGTTAACGTGAGCATTCTACCCTCAACGAATATGAATTATGGAAGAGCAAAGTCAAATAGAATTATTACTTTTTTAAAATGCAGTCTTAATTTGTGAACTTCAGTTTTCTTTCCTCTTCCCAGGATGGTGCTGCTAAAGTTACATGTATGTCGTGGGCACCCAATAACAGCAAGTTTGCAGTCTGCACTGTGGACAGAGTTGTTCTTCTGTATGATGAAAATGGAGAAAGAAGGGATAAATTCTCTACTAAACCTGCTGATGCCAAGGTTAAAAAACTATTTTCCAAAATAATTATAAGTAACGCTGTGGCAAATATATTAATTAACATGTTCTAAAGATGTGCCATTATCCAACTATACAGCAGGAGAGTAATTTTAAAAACCGAAAGAACTGCGGATGCTGTAAATCAGGAGCAAAAAGAGGAGTTGTTGGAAGTTCAGCTGGTCTGGCAGCATCTGTCAAGAAAAAAATCAGAGTTAACGTTTCAGGTCTGGTGACCCTTCCTCAGAGGGTTCTGAGGAAGGGTCGCCAGAGCTGAAACGTTAACTCTGATTTTTTCTTCACAGATGCTGCCAGACCTGCTGAGCTTCCAGCAACTTCTGTTTTTGTAGTTGAGGAGAGTAATTTTGTTTGTTATAATTAATCATTAAAACTAACCTGTCATGAATTTTGTATATGATCTGAGCTGAATTATGATAGCTGAAAATGGACCAAAGTATACAACAACCTAGTTGTATTCAAAAGAATAGCACAAGGAAACTTCTTTTATATAGGCTAAAGAAAAAAAAAATCACAGTTCTTTACACAGAGGGATGTATTTTACCAAAAATAGTTCAGGTGTCAGTTTTTGGGGAGTTTCATAGTGAGTTTCCATAAAGTCCAGTGAGTTTTCTCACACAGCTCTGCTGTTCAATTTATAATGTGTGGACCATGCCTCCATTCGCCTTTAACAGTAGCTGAAAACCTTTATGCCACTGACACCATATTAAAATCCCAACAGTGCACCATTTCAAATGCTGCACGCCAGGAACTGCTATTCACAGTGCAATGCTGCACAATTCTAAAAGACATGGATGAGAAAGAGAAAGAAATACCTCAGTGTATCCTACTATCTCTGAGAAAGAGATTTGTCAGCTTTGCTGACAGGGAATTGAAGGCCCTGGTGGGTGCAGTGATGGAAAGGAGAGCCATTCACTTTCGTCAGGATTGCTAGAGGAGACACAGCATCAGACCCTGCCACCACAGTCCAAAGTTGCTTCTGAAGCCAGTGCAGAGTCTACAGCTGAATAAATGTCAGCAGATCAGGAAGGAGGTAAATGACCTGCATTCTGCAATGGTAAGTGCAACCATCATCTCTCCTTTACTTCACACTTACTCAAGCTCTGCCACTACACCGAAAAAGGCATCCAAAGTGTGCAGGTTAGGTGGATTGGCCATACTGAATTGTCCATCGTGTCCATGCATGTACAGGTTAGGTGGATTAGCTATGGAAAATGCAAGATTTACAGAGATCAGGTAGTGGGGTGGGTCTGGGTGGGAAGCTCTTCAGAGGGTTGATGTGGACTTGATGGGCTGAATAGCCTGCTTCCATTCTGTAGGGATTCCAGGATGAAGGCTGATGGACTGCAATTCTCATGATTTCATGCACCATCATCCTTCAATTGCTCTCATCCACTCCACTCTCACACAATGATCCCTACATGCCCTCTATGTTTCCTACTCACTCATGGGAGATCTCACCACCTTTCCTCAGCTGCACTAGCATTAACAGCTGTGTGAACCAATTTCGTCTCACTCAATTCCTCCCTTTATTCCAGAAGAAAACAGCCTGTATTAGTGCAGAGAGAGCTAAGACGGGTGGTGGCGTGCTTAACATTCTTCCCATTCAGAACCTTCCCAATCTTCTACCCTTATTTTTCAACTCATTCTCTCTCTTGTCTTCTTCAGGCATAAGCAGCGTCTTCCTCTCTGAAGAGAGCCGGTGCTCCAGTCAGCACTTCTTCCACTTCTGACGGAGAAGGCACAGATCCCTCAGAGGAAGCAACAGCAAGGCTATCTCCTGCACCCTGCACTAGCTGAGATAATTACAACTATCTTTAGCTAGAATCCAGTCAGATGCATTTTCTGGTGAGCACATCATTGGCACATCTCTGCAACTGGCAGAGGATGAAATGCCCCAGGTTGCTGGCATTCAGAGGAGTACTAGAAACAAGGTAACTCGACCTAAAGTGAGTGGACTGCAGTGATTCAAGAAAGCAGCTCACCACCACCCCCTCAAGATCAACTAGGGGCAGGCAATACATGCTGGCCAGCCAATGATGCCCGTGTCTCATGAATGCATTTAAAAAAGTTTTCAGCCCTAGGCAGGAGAAGGCCCCCATCATCTCTGCTATTAATACCTGCATCATAACATGGTGTTCTGTCTGCCACTTCATAAAAGTGTAATGCCACTGCACATCTCTCATCAGTATTCTTTGGAGGACCAGTGACTGTGGGTCTCCTGTATTTTTGCCACAACATAAGTGCACCTTTGGTTGCAAACTCCATATCAGGAGACTGCACCACATTCAGTGGAGGTTGATGCTGGCCCTGAGCCTTCAGCTATGTGTTCCTCATTCGTTTCAATGGATGCTGAAGTGTGGTGGCCACAGAGACGACATGAGCTTTTATACCTGGATCCATTCGTGATGGTTCCAATGAACCTGTTTGTGTAATATCAGAAACAAAGCAGCTCAACAACACTATTCATTCAGCAGTCACAGCACACACACAATATTTAAACAGCACCCTCAAAACATTGGAACATGGAGGCTTCTGACAAGGAGGTAAATGGGATGGCTGTACACGGACTTTGCATATCAGACCTGATTTCAGACATGTGCTGTAAAAAGCCATTTGGTGCACATATGTTTGGTAGCAATGATGGGAACTTTCACCCCATGTCCAACTCCTACATTACCCAAGAAAGGCAGTGTTGTGTATTGGATAATAGTATGGGCATTTTAGAGTTCGTGATGTGAGGTGAGGAGCTCCTGGACTTTGTGCAAACTATTAAACTTTTGAAAGGTGATAGTGAATTTACAATGTAGAGTCATAGAGATATACAGTATGGAAACAGACCCTTTCGTTCAACTCGCTCTGCTGACCAGATATCCTAAATAAATCAATCCCATTTGCCAGCATTTGGCCCATATCCCTCTAAACCCTTCCTATTCATATACCCCTCCAGATGCCTTTTAAATGTTGTAATTGTAGCAGCCTCCACCATTTCCTCTGCCAGCTCATCCCATACACACACCACCCTCTCTGTGAAAAAGTTGCCCCATAGGTCCCTTTTAAATCTTTCCCCTTTCGCCTCAAACCTATGCCCTTTACTTTTGGACCCCCCCATCACGGGGAAAAGGCCTTGTCTATTTACCCTATCCGTGCCCCTCATGATCTTACAAACCTCTACAGGGTCATCCCTCAGCCTCCGACACTCCAGGGAAAATAGCCCCAGTTTATTCAGCCTCTCCCTATTGATCAAACCTGCCAACCCTGGCAACATCCTTGTCAATCTTTTCTGAACCCTTTCAAGTTTCACAGCATCCTTCCTATGGTAGGGAGACCAGAATTGCACGCAGTATTCCAACAGTGGCCTAACCAATGTCCTGTGTAGCCACAACATGACCTCCCAATTCCTATACTCAGAAAGGCAAGCATACCAATTGCCTTCCTCACTGCCCTGTCTATCTGTGACTCCACTGTCAAGGAATTATGAACCTGCAGTCCAAGGTTTCTTTGTTCAGCAATACTCCCCAGGACCTTACCATTAAGTGTACAAACCCTGCCCTGATTTGCCTTTCCAAAATGCAGCACCTCACAATTATCCAAATTAAACTCTATCTGCCACTCCTCAGTCCATTGGCCCACTTGATCAAGATCCTGTTTTACTCTGAGGTAAGCTTCTTTGCTGTCCACTACACCTCCACTTTTGGTGTTATCTGCAAACTTACTAACTGTACCTCCTATGTTCACATCCAAATCATTTATGTAAATGAAGAAAAGCAGTGGACCCAGCACCGATCCTTTTGGCACACTGCTGGTCACAGACCTCCAGTCTGAAAAGCAACCCTCCACGACCACCCTCTGTCTTCTACCTTTGAGCCAGTTCCATAGCCAAATAGCTAGTTCTCCTGGTGTTCTATGTGATCTAACCTTGCAAACCAGTCTACCATGAGGAACCTTGTCGAATTCCTTACTGAAGATCATATCCATGGCTCTGCCCTCATCAATCCTCTTTGCTACTTCTTCAAAAAACTCAATCAAGTTAGTGAGATACGATTTCCCATGCACAAGAATCTCTTTGGATTCTCCTTAACCTTTTTTGCCAAAGCTATCACATGTCCCCTTTTGCCCTAAGATGATAAGGTGTAGAGCTGGATGAACACAGCAGGCCAAGCAGCATCAGAGGAGCAGGAAAGCTGACGTTTCGTTTGCCCTCCTGATTTTCAAGTATACTCCCACTGCTTTTATGCTGTTCTAGGGAATCGCTTGATTTCTGCGGTCTATACCTGACATATGCTTCCTTTGTATTCTTGACCAAAACCTCAATTTCTATAGTCATCCAGCATTCCCTACACCTACCAGCCTTGCCTTTCATCCTAATGGGAACATACTATCTCTGGTCTCTTGTTATCTGGTGAAGGCTTCCTGTTTACCAGCTGTCCCTTTACCTGCAAACGTCAGCTCCCAATTAACTTTTGAAAGTTCTTGCCTAATATCGTCAAAATTGGCCTTCCTGCAATTTAGAACTTTAACTTTTAGATCCGGTCTATCCTTTTTCATCATTATTTTAAAATTAATGGAATTGTGGTCACTGGCCCCAAAGTGTTCCCCCACTGACACCTCAGTCACGTGCCTTGCCTTATTTCCCAAGAGTAGGTTAAGTTTTGCACCTTCTGTAGTAGGTACATCCACATAATGAATCAGAAAACTTTCTTGTACGCACTTAACAAATTCCCCTCCATCCAAGTCCTTAACACGATGGCAGTCCCAGTCTATGTTTGGAAAGTTAAAATTCCCTACCATAACTACCCTATTATTCTTACAGGTAACTGAGATGTGCTTATAAATTTGTTCTGAATTTTCCACTGACAATTGAGGGTGTCTAAAGTACAATCTCAATAAGGTGATCATCCCTTTCTTATTTCTCAGTTCCAACAAATAACTTCCCTGGACGTATTCCCAGGAATATCCTCCCTAAATACAGCTGTAATGTTATCCCTAATCAAAAATGTTACTCTCCCACCCCATCCCCCTCCCTCAGCTCCCTTTCAATCCTTCCTGTACATCTATACCCTGGAACATTAAGCTGCAAGTCCTGTCCATCCCTGAGCCATGTCTCTGTAATTACTGTGATATCCCAGTCCCATGTTCTTTTGCTTGATATTACTTTTACTTCACAGCTATTGTTAGGATTAATTGGTTATGTTGAATAATATGGTCAAGATTGCACCAGATGTGTGGCAGCCATTTTTCGTACTGTATTTATGATTGAGATGAGGATGGAAGGCATCGCAGATTGCATTTCATAGAATGAATCGCTGGCTCAGTCTCTTAATCTTGGTGACCTCCCTCCTCCCAAACCTTCATGTTCCTTTCTGTTTTACCCTCCTTCTCAATGTCTCCCCATGCTCCCACCTTAGTCTGTTGAATATTTAGCTACTTATTTCTTCACTTTACCTTTGAGCCTATCTTAGTTATGCCACCATAGTTATGCACTGTCCCAAACAACCTTCCCCACTATTGCAATATCCCTTTGCCCTTTGTGTTCCGTCAACTCACATCCATATATTGAGTTGCCCATTCTCCCTCCCTCCACCCCCCCACCCCAAAAACCTGAATCTAGTTGGCTGAAGCACCTGAATGGAGGTTGGGCGATGTCCTTGACTCACTGTGCCAGACTTAGCTAAAGACTGCCTGCCTTAGACTTTGAGATGTGACTATTTTATTGAAGCACATGCAGTTTGTTTACAGCATTAGCTGCTGGCACATGCTGCAGGTATGACATCGATGTAGCAAGGTGCCATACAGCAACATGTTACCTCCTTGACTGATCATTGCTGGAGTACACAAGATATTTTGTTTCTGCTCTAAAAGGAGTGGCAGAAGTACTGTGAGCCTCTCAGTTCTGAAAGAGTTGGCAACACATTAAAAAGGCAATGCAGAGACTCTGTGAGCATCCAAATAGTTTCAAAGTTAATAAAAACTAAGAAAACAAGAAATGGGCCCTGAGCTGCACCCTGTTTGGACGCATGAGTTGGGTGCCTGCATGCAAAGCGACCTGGCAACAGCATTACAATGCAAGGAATCAAGTCAATCAGTTACAGATCTGCACTTATGCGAAGTATTATTGCTGGACATAGATTCTTTTCTTGTCATTAGTGTGAGTTGGAGGCAATGTAAACTATGACTGATCAGCTGTTTGTTTAGTTTTACTTGTGAAGTCACTTGTTCAGTATGCTTATCAGCAGTCATCTCTGTAATTCTCCAAAATAAATATTTATGTTTTGTACACATTGATCATTGCAAATTATTTATTTAAAACAACTATGTTTTTCAGTATGGCAAGAAAAGTTATATGGTCAGAGGCATGGCATTTTCACCAGATTCCACCAAAATAGCCGTTGGACAGACAGACAGTATTATATATGTTTATAAAATTGGAGAGGAATGGTAAGTTCTGTGTTTGTGTATTTGTTTCTAATGAACTTGCATACAAACTTGCATTATGTTCACAAATGTTGGAAAATCTGCACCAGTTACATTTACCTTTTTCGTAATCCATGTATGTTGGGCATGCAGAGCCAAACGAGGCACAGTATGTTCAGGGATAGTAGGAACTGCAGATGCTGGAGAATCCGAGACAACAAGGTGCAGGGCTGGATGAACACAGCAGGCCAAG